ATCAAGTTTAATGGGATTCGGTCTAGTTCCTCGGTCTTCAGGAATAGGACCCCAACATGCTATGAAACCACTTCACATCTGCAGCTGCTACTCTCCCTTGAATCATGGTTAAATGAAGATACGAATCTCCAGTGACTGAGCGTCGTGTGAGGGGCTGGGGAGTGGCCTCTCGCTTCCACCCCATGCGACAGACTAACGCCCTGCCAATTTATCGTCACAGTGATCACTGCATAGGTCCTCATGGGATTGGACGTGCTTGTTGGGCTCTGTCTCACTCGATCTCTTCCGGATGAATTTCCTCGAGTCAGGGACCACTTATCCCCTGCTTAGGTCCTTTTTCGATTGAACTCTCCCGACTTGGGTCCTACGAACTACTAATAACTAATAAGCCCTAGATCTTGGTTCCTCTTAACTCTATCCTCGTCGCTGTTCGCTCCCCATAAGCGCGCCCGGTCGATACCAAACACACGCGGTTGAGCTGAGAAAGAACTCCTTGTTATTCCTCCACGTTTTTGGTATTGACTGTGTTCTCCATCCTTTCGTGAGTTCATAGTATCAATCTACTTGAAATCAATCTATATACCACGATGTGGGCTAGAATGCTACGCTGAACTTTTGTGTACCACCTGTGCTTCACCGTTGAATCCTGAAACAGCAGGGCACAAGCGAATGCAGCCCCTCCGAGCCCGGACTGCTATGACCATTGTGTTCGTCTCCTGGCACGGGGCATAGTGAAACGTCAATCATGAAGATATAGCGCGTTGACATTTCCTATACATTCCTTCTCTCGCTCTGGCCTAGATTCCGACAGCCACTATACTGTCCTTCCAATTTGTTGACCTCTGGTCGCTGTGGCATTTTACGCGCCGTACCTTTATCGGACAGGTCTTCATTCATCATTTCAGCACTATCGATTCATGCATGCCAGCAATTACCGCTCTTGGCCTTCCAATCTAGCAGAGCAACCGTCGCATCCGTCCAGCCGGTGGGCTTGGCGCAATGTCGATGTCCAGTCCTTCTATCATCTTATATCAGGGCTTGAGATGTACCAAAGTGCCTAGAAGTTCACTTGCAGCGGCATCAATACCTGCCGTCGTGCCAGAACCCACACCATTCCTGCCAGCCTCCTCAGTACAAGGCCCAGAACCCGTGACGACGACTCTACAATCCAGTACGGAAACCGCTGATGCAGTGTCGCTATCGTCTCGTATCGCCGTCGCTCCTTCAGATGTCCGATTAGTACCCCTCCCAACTACTTCCTCTCTCTCGGAATCTCCACCAAATCCCGAGAGCAACACGGACATACACACATCCGTTGCATCTCCTACCTCTCATAATCAGACGTCTGGCCTTCCATCGACTGATCCGTCTACTAAACCGTCGAGCTCCGAAGTCCTGACGACTTCTACGGCGGAGACCAGGTTTATGGTCGCGACACCCACAACGAATACAGTCACCGCAGCATTTCCTTCCGCGACAAACCCTTTGCAGGACTTTTCAGATCGCGGATCCGAAGACGTGAACCGTCATACCCTTCGTACGATTTTGGGGAGCATCTTCGGTACCGTGGGCTTGATCGCCCTCATACTCCTGATGTGCTTTCTGATCTATCGTTATAGACGGCGAAAGACGCGCGACGATCGAAGTCTCGGCGGGAGTGAGAAATTACTACGCAATGGTCGGCACTCCGCAGACTCCTGGGCAAGCTCCCGGCATGCCTTTTTATCCAGGACATCATCTCTTTCGGATGCCCCTTCTGCACCAGATCACCATCATGTGCCAGGTCCGAACATGGGTTCCAGTTATGCTCATGTCAGAAAGGGATCATCTCATCTCTCGGAGCCCAATTCAAACCCATCGGAGGTATCTCTTGACATGCGGCCACACATACGCGACGCTGTTGGTGGAACACATATGCACCCGACACGAGGCGACCAACCTCTTTGTCCCGATGCTTCAACCCTCGGGGGGTCGCATTCCCCTTCATACGCGAAACCAATCTCGCCAGGCTTACAAATAAACCAGGATCAGCACTCCATTTACAGCAGTGAACGCAGCCTAGGAAGTACCATCATTCTCCCAGGACGAAGTAGCTTTGGCAGCAGCGTGCAAAGAGCGAGCTATCCGATATCCATATCGGATCTCGGGCCACCTGGACCCAATGATTCCGTGACAAGAGTCAGTACCCGGAGCGACCCGTTTGACTTGGAAGTCCCTCCAAACGCGATGCACAAGCGCAGCTCTGGCGCACTTCCCCGGGGTTGATTGGCACAAGCACTCGAGTACTGGACACCCCAGTCAATGCGATACGTGACATGAGACACGAATGTTATCTACAGGACGAACACGGCTGCAGGGATTTTCTTGCTTTTGTACATCACCTTTCATTCTAGTAGGTATCATTTGAGAAACAGTGTATTATCATAATGTAAATGTACGTCAGGTAAACTTAATCTTAATTTGTTAGCAGTCGCTCTGTATGGGATCACATACTGCTGCTCTGTGCTTCTTAAATCATATAGCTCGAGAGGACCGTGACTCCATGTTCTTACCTTCTCTACGTAAGACATGCTAAGGTACTCTCCGCTCCGCAGTATACTCTGTCCTTCTCTCAGAAATATATATCTGCTGCAACTCCATGACCAACACATCTCAACTTTCAAGCACTGCATCACGAATTGAACATCCTCTTTCCATTTCATACGATACAATAATTAATCAGGTAAACGTGAAAACCAACAGCCACAGACTTATACACCCGTTCACAAAGGTGAAAGTCTTCTAAGACTGTGCAGGAACGACGGAGACCGATCACCTAGATTGACTGGAAATCAAGCTTAGTAGTTGGGATACAGTATAGTGATAATACTACAGACCGAATAACGCCAACTTCATCTCAGACTATCACAAGAGTAGTAGACCGAACCGGGAATTTGAAATTCAGGTAACGTTACGACATTAGATAAACAACTTTGATCGGACCGGGGTTGAACGGAGGGGTATGGGGAGAAGGGAATCAGGATATTCGGACAGTCCTCTGGCCAGGATGGAGAGGAGCAGTTGGATGCAATATGATGATGGAGTTAGAGAGAACGAGGACTCCGTAGAGCGGTGGTAAAAAAAGAGAAAAAAACGATTTCAGACTCATATCACACAAAAGCGCCATGCCATTTGTTTTCCTTTAAATGAAGAAAAAGAAAGCTTTGTTTTCCTTTTTTGTTTCTCTCTCTCATTCTTTGCTCTTTTTCCTTGGGAGAGAAAAAAGAGGAATAGCATTTTACTGCTTCCCGATCCCAGGTATCAAATATCTTCCAGGTTTCCCCTGATCATTGTCCCGGACAGAGAATCAAACCACCGAGCCAGACCTGAGAGACATAAAACAAAATTGGCCGACCTGATTCCCGTTGGCTATTGGATTTCCCCCCAGTTCAACCTCCGCACCGCCAAAAAAAAGTCAGATGGCTTTTTTTGTTTACTCCTGCTGCTCCTCGGCGGCCAGAGCGTTACGCTTGGCCTCGATACGCTCCTGTCGTCTCTCACGGAGGGCCTTGTTCTTGGCACGCTTGGCGTCCATCTCTTCCTTGAGCGCGCGCTCACGCTGTCTCTCAGCCTTGGCCTTCTGGATCTGTAAGGTTCGAAAAGCAATTTGTCAGCCTCTTCTCTATTTGCCTAGTCGCCACCCTTGCATCCCACTGAAAACGACATGAATCGAGAGGAAGACTTACGTGCTCAATCAGAGCGCGCTTGTGCTTGAAAGTGTTACCCTTGCTCAGGTGGTAGAGCTCGTGGTAAAGGTGCTTGTCGATCTTGCCAGCGGCACGGTAGCGGACGAGGAGGCGACGGAGAACACGCATGCGGCGCATCCAGAGGAGCTGGCTGTAATACGCAGACATCCATCAGTAAGACTCTTTGCTTCATTCTATCCCCCATATGACTGGTAGGGAGTGTGGCAACCGATCGAAGATCCTCAACCGTTGACAAAGGCGGAGTGTGCATACCTGGGCATACGAGCGTCCTTGGTACCCTTACGCTTACCGAGACCACGGTGTCTGCCGATTCTGCGGGCGGCGTTGAGCTCACGGGCACGGGCGCGGGAGTGCATGGTAACGGGCTTGCGGATGATGAGGCCATCGCTGACGAGCTTGCGGATGGTCTGGCGGGAGTTGGCGTTGGAGATCTCATTCATCTCATTGGGATCGAGCCAAATCTTGCGCTTGCCGCAGCCCACCACGGAGGCGGCGAGGCGCTTCTGGGTGCGAAGGTTGACCCTGTAAAGCGAGAAATCACACGGTCAGCCTTTCTGATGTTCAGAATCGGTCGAGGAGAAAGTCCCCAGCCAGAGAGAGAAATGACCCGAAAATGGGCCATTTCCACGCGCTGATCGAAGGAAAAAATTCCATCGAGTGACAGTATTTCCCCATGAAAGGACAACATCAGATTCTGAAGATGGAACTCACATCTTGATGTCGGCGTATCGACGGTCGTTGGCGGATGATGTTCGTTGCACTCGTCGACGGGTAGAATTCCCAGGTGAGGAGTTTGAGATACGGGCGGTTGATTAGCTAAGCGACTGTGCTGCTAAGCGAGAGGGTCCACCTTAGGGTTTGTGCCCCGGACGCTTGTCTCGACCGGGGAAGCGGATTGAGCCTCAATGTCACGCAGCCTATGATATGATGACATATGACTGGAAAGATATTTGGAACATGCTATTCTGTTTACATTGAAAGGACCTGAAAGGCTTATTCGTATTGATGACTTCTCCTCGAATCTCCTTGTACTCGCACATCCTGTACGTGCCCTCTTCGGACCAGTCACGTGACACTCATCGGCTTGCTGTAAGAGGGACAACTTCTTAAGCGAGGGTTCAACGTAACGAAAGGAAATCATCGTTCATATCATATGCTACTTTTCTAATATGGACTGCTCTATACTATACACTCGAATGCAGAGGGTATAGATCTCGCTCATGCCAACGTTGGTAGAATGTAAACCGTGCTCAACTACTCATCAGCAAATGAGCCTTCCCCTAGATCAACCTTTCCGACGCTCCACAGTTCCTTCTCATCCTCAGCTTCGTCATTGGACAGACCCAGTCCTCCCTGTCCACCTTCAGCATCTTTGCGTTCTCTAGCCTGGCTGGCGAGACGTAGCGCAACTCGCTTGAAGTAGTCTGACATGCTCCGCTTAGGTCCAGGGGGAAGTTCCGCCCCCGGTCCAGCCATATACTTGTCGAAAACAGCACTTTCAGATTCCTCAACAGAGAAGAGTGACAGGAACGCAGCTTCAGCAGCGAGCTTGACGGGAATGATTACATCACGAACACAGCCGAAAATCGGTGGTGCAAGAAGAGCCAGATGAGGCCGGGTCAGTTCGGGATGGAGCCGGCTCACCGTTCGCACGACCACCAAAGTGAGACGGCGAACATCAGGAGGCACGCCTGCCTGTATGCAGGGCGCTAGTGCTTCGAAGATGGCCTTGTTTGTCTCGAAATTGCGACTCTCATCCTCGATCAAAAGGAACTTCCCGGCAGCGAGGACGCTGTTCTCGGCAATGAAAGGCTGTCACAGAAATCAGGACCACGGAGCGCTGAAAGGCCAGTGTGTAACTTACATCCTTGTTCGAGACGCCCTGACAAATAATAGATTGGGTCTCGGTAGCGCAGTTCTCAGTCAGAGACGACGGCGAGTCAACCAGCAAGGCGTTCAGGCCCAGAATGGATGCATGTGTCATATGGCTTGTGAGCACACGGTTCCTTGAATTACCATGTCAGCACTGTTCCCGAATTTGAAGGCATCGTAGGATAGACTTACTTGATCAGTGGGCTGGCGGTAGACGGGGGAAGGACCTTCACCAGCGCACCGAGCAATTTGGCATTCGTAATAGCAACGCCATCTACCGAATAGTTAGATTTCCAACGGTGATCTTGTCAAACTTAAACCGCAACCTACCAGTCTGATCGCTGGCATCATCGTCAATGAGTGCAAGGATAGCATTCTTCGAAGCCTCGCTCATATTCGCGCCAGCTTTGCCGACGACCTCTTGTAGTGCCTTCATCATCGCATTCTTGACGCCCATATCATCAGTCTTTGTACCCGTGATCAATTCTGGTCAAAGATTAGTATCAAGGCTACTAGCAAATTATCACATAAACTAATTGACCTACCTGCAATGAGAGGATCCACCCTTGGGGTCAAGGTAATCAAGATTCCAAGACCCTTGGCAGCCCTGTTGCGCAGTGTCTCGCTGGTAGAATCGGCTAGACCCCGTGCAAATGTACGTTGCAGTTGTGGCAGGAATGGCTTGACTGCCATCGGGATCTTCTCAAGAAGCTTGTTAAGTGTGAAGAAGATGGCACCTAGTCCTGGTCAGTCCTGTGAACGATACATAAAGCAAGCCTCATATCAACCTACATTTGATGTCCACTGAACGTTCAGAAACCACTCTGATCAAAGGACCAGTGATTTGAGTAACGAAAAGCTTCAGAGAGTTTGCATTGGTACGGTCGATAATATCGCCAATGGCCAGAGCCGCCTGCGTACGCTGTTCCACATTGCCGTTGAGAAGACCCTGCAAGAAGATTGGCAGAATGGCAGTAATACCCTTCGGCAAGCTGAAACCTGGCAGATCGGCTCCAGGCACACCCACTTGTCGTAGGGCCTGGCGCGTTGGAATAGTAAGGACTTCCATTTCCTCCTTGCGCATGTGAGACGTGAGCCCGCTGAGTGCTGTCCAAGCTGCCTTGATAACTTCCTTGTCGCTGTCGTCGAAGGAAATGAGCAGGACACGAATCAGATCCTGGTAGTATCTGGAGTAGTCGATCTCGGCTTCGGAGAAGAACTTGCTCAGATGGAGCGCAGCGCTGGCGCGGCGTCTATGGTCATCGTGCTTCAGAAGACTCATCATGACGTTCATCACGACGTTCAGACCATCGAATTCATCCACAGATACCAAGACGGCATCGAAGGCGCTGTTCAATTCTTCCCGATGCTCCTCGTCCGTAGTTGAGAGGATATTGTCCATCAAGGAGTTGAGAATCGCGGGTAATCTGCGCGTCAAGGCCGAACCGGCTACCTCAGCCAAGGAAGCGATGGCTCTAGCATTGAAGGCAGAGATGGGCGAAGTGATCAGCGTCGGGATCAGGTTGGGTAGAATGATGTTAGCCCTTGTTTGCTCGGTAAGGAGCGTCAGTAGTGCTGACAGTGCTTGCTCAGCATCCTCGTTGTTTCTCAGAAGCATCAGAAGATGGGGCAAGACCTGATCAACAGCCTTCTTGCCAAGAATCTGCTGCAGTGCATCGAAGGCTTCTGCTGCCGCTTCACGGACGTCTTCGTCGTTATCGACAAGGGCAACCCGAACGGTCGAAATGAGGATCTTTTCGTAGTCTTCCAGGGCTTCAGGAGACGCAGAGGTAATTAGCTCTCTCAGGGCAATGCAGATACCTTGCTTGACATCCACATCAGGTGACGTGCGTAGGCCTTCCTCGAGAGAAGGCAGCAAAGTAGCGAGCACAGACTCGCCAGCCTTCTTGATAAGGTCTCCAAGCGCATTGCTGGCGATAACCTTGTGTTCCATATTTGATGAACCAAGGCGCCGAATGATAAACTGCGACAAAGTAGGCACCATCTCCTTTAGCGTTCTTGGTGAAGCGACAAGCGACTTCCAAACAGCCATCGCCGCGCTCTTGACAAGACCAGAAGTATCGCAGCGACAAATGAACAGAGCGGACAGGACCTTGTTTCTCCTCTCCTCGCCGAGAACCTCGAGCAACGACTGTCCGGCTTGAGCAACCTCTTCCTCTTCCTCCTCCGCATCTGCCTTGGCTGTGATACCCGTGATGCTGAAGAGGAGGTCACCCACCAGTTCAACAGAGCTCAATCTGATACGGTAGCTATCGTCCGCAAGACCGCGTTCAAGTTCAGGAAGAAGCAAGTCGATAGCCTTGGAAGAGAAGTTCTTGACCAGCAGACGACCAGCCTTGAGAGACGTCTCCCGAATGGAGTCGATGTCATCTGCCAATCCTGCGAGAATGGGAGGAATGATCTTGCTAAGATATGGCGCAAAGCTGTTTCCAAAGCAGGCAGGCAGGAAAATAAAGAGCGTCATGAAGCCTTCCCGAACAGCCGGCTTGGAGCTTGAGACGTTCTGCAAGATTGTTGGCAGTGTCTCTTCCAGTCTGGTCGTTCCCAGACCCGCCAGAACCTCCGAGAGAGCCTGTGCGGATCCCAAACGATCGCCAGCGCCAGTATCCGACTTGAGCGTAGACATGAGGTTGGGAATGAGATCGGGTAGGGCATCCTCTCCAAGCTTCTCGATAAGTGAGCCGAGAGCTTTGGACGCGGTGGCACGAGTAGTAGGCACTGGATCAACGATGGCCAGCTGCAGTCCAGAAACGATAATGGGCAGGTGAGAGATAAGATCCTTCCGCTCCGTAAGGTGAGCCAAGCTGCCAATGATCTGTGCAGACTTCCTCTTGGTATTTGATCTGTCGCCAAGACCGCGCTCAAGGATACGGACAACAAGCGCCAAAGAGGGAGCGTCCAAGTAATGGACGAAAGAGACCTTGATAAGTGCATCCAGAGCTTCATCTGTGTATTTGGTCGGATCACTCAGGGCCTTGAGAAGGACGTTGACCAAGCCCTTCACTTCGGGGTTGCTGATAACCTCACCGAATCGCTGCAGACTGCGATTTGCGGCGTTGCGCACCTCCTTGTGAGTATCATTGAGCACCACGGTGAGTGGAGGGATGATGTCGGGCAGGCTTGCTGCCAATTGCTGTGGGTCGAGATAAGCCATTGCTCCAAGGAGATCGCAGGCTCCCTTTTGACTGCGCCATTGCGTGTCGTCAAGGCCATCGAGGAGAGTAGGGAGTATCTTCTTCACACCATAGGAGCTGAGATTGGAGAAACAAGCCTTTGCTGCGTCGAGGCAAGCATCGCGAACGTCGATGCTGGGATCACCGAAACCGGCAAGGAGCTGCGGCACGATCTGAATGACATATGGTTCAAAGGTGCGCCCGAGGATGGTGGCGAAGAGCTCGAACGCTAACAGCGCACCCAGTCGCTGATGTGCCTCTTTCTTATTCTCAGTGGCGTCCTTCAGGTAAGACATGACCTGGTACTCCCGCAGAGTGAAGATGCCCCTTCCACGAACGATACCAGCCAGACCGTAAGCTGCGCCACGCTGGGTAGCATAATTCTTCGTCTTCAACAGTTGATCCAGCATCTCTTGTACATACTCTCCGCTCTTTGGCCCGCAGAGACGAATGAGTGGCGGAAGGCATCCGGAGACGGCGGATTGTACAGTTTCCGACGGGGTCGGGAGTGTCGCCAGAAGTCGCTTGATGACTGTTTGCAACCGCGGATCGTCCGACTTGAGATGCTGAGCCAGAGAACCGTAGAGAACAACCACTGCTTCATTGAGAAGATCAGATGTCTCGCTGCCTTTGTCTGAAGTTTCCAGAGTGGTTTCCAGTATTTCCATTAACTCCTCAACCCGCTGCTGGCCGCGCGAGGCGACGACAGATCTGCCGCTGTCACCCATTTGGGACCTTACCACAGAGTTTCTGTCGATCAAGGGGCCTCTTTCAATCAGAAACCGAAGGAATGAAACAATCTGATCGCCTTCGAAACTATTTGTCATCGCACCAAAAGCGAGGGCAATGCCACTGCGGCATTCCCAGTGGTCGGTCGTATCCACCTTGAGCGGCATTCCGTACTTGTCCTTCGCTGGCTGTTTGGGCTTCACTTCCTCCTCATACATCGACTGTAATTGCTGGACAATGTCCCCGAAAACGGATGGATTGAGCTCCACTGCATGGCCCAAGGCGCGGGCAGCAGCGCCTCGGAGTTGGGAGTCCTTGGACGAGAGATATGGAATGATTTTCCCGTAAGAAGTCTCGTCAACCTCGAGGGCATTCTCTTCCCAGATATTTTCAGCAATTTCCACGTTCTCCTCCACCTGATCGTGACAGCCCAACCAAATGTGCTCAGAGAAGTCCAGGTCAGTCAGATCAATTTCAGACTCGATAACCTGGAGCACCGAGGTTCGGACGGATGTATCTGGAATGATGGTGCCTCGTAGAAGAACATTAAGCTCCTCATTGGTGATGTTGGACGAAATGCATCTACAAAAATCAAAGAGAGTGTCCTTGATCAACTTGTAGTGCTGGGTAAACTTCTGCATGGCAGCCAGCAGGTGATGCAGGACATCAACACGTGGAAGACGGTTATCAGTGACTGTGCATGAAGTGTTAGCGATTCTCAGTCCTAATTATGCTCCTTGAGCGATGCCAGAACTCACATGAGGCGGAGTGGAATGACAGGAACTCCAGCGCAAGAAGCAACTGCTCTCCTTCCTCTTCGCCTTTGACTTCTTCGATGCCATTGCGGCTCAGAACCATGAAAATCAAGGGAAGGATATATGCCAAGGACGTCATGTCGAATGGGCGCTGTTCAGAAGCAAAACGAAGGCGATAAAGGATTCTTGTAACAAGCCCTGTCAAATGGTCAATAGATGCCTGAAGTGCTGATAATATGTGAAAACTCACCACCGAGTGGCTCGGTTTCCATCTCAGGCGGCAGATGGGACCTGCCAATTGCTCGAAGTGTCGCAACACCAACAAAGGGGCGAAGGGGACCCAGGCGCGACGAGACTTTCTCAGAACATTTCACGTACGCTTTGGAAACGACATCACCGGCGAACAAGCCCACGCCAGCTCGGGCCAGAGACAGCAACGAGCTTACAGCCGGGTTGATCCATCCATCAGCATCAACGGCTGGCCCGCTCGCAAGCCCCTGAATAATACCGGCGCCTCTTTCGATTCTCTTCACTTCCTGTAGGACCTCCTCACGGATCTTAGATTCCTTTGCAAGTTGAGCTTTGACCTTCGCTTGTTCATCTGCGGTAAGCTTCTTCTGCGTTTGGCCTTTCTTCTGAGCTAATTGTGCCCGCAGCTCTTCTTCCCATTTGAGGGTGTCGTAGTCTTTGGTGTTCTTGTCGAATGCTTGCTGCTTCGACTTGGCGTTGAGGACATCAACAAACATGGTACCCTCTGGGGTGCGGGCAATGGCTACATCGGTTGGTGTGAACCTCGAAAGACGCGAAGCATCCAAATCGTCTCTGATCTGCCGAATTAGGCGAGGGACCATAGTGTCTGGTGCGACGAACGCCAGGTCCCCTGCAGCATTCCAAATAGCTGCATCAATCCCAGGGACTTTCGATTGGATGGGATCCTGCGCCAAGTTAGCATCTGATTTTCTATCCCGGATTAACAACTGAAGACCAACCTCCTGCACCTGCGTCAATTGCTTCATAAAATCATCCGGATATTCACGAACAAGATTACCAGGATCTGTACCAGTCCTTAGGCACAGTGCGATCCATGAAACGTTGGGAATCAGTTCTGGCCTGCAAAGTACAAGAAGCTGAATGAGTTGACGATTCAGATCAGAGCGAATCTTATCGGACTGTATATCGGCAGTAGACGGACAGATGGCCTTCGCGACGAGGTGAAGGAGCTTCTCACTTGCCGGTCCTGCAGACGATGCAGCAGACTCTTTCTCTGCCGTTCTCAAGGCGAGAATCCACGTCCACAGAGCTTCAGTGACCACGCGACCCATCAGTTCCGACCTTCGCAGATAAATTCCCATAAGCGCGTGAGCAGCTTCCTCACGCAAATTTGTGCGAAGTCCGGGAGCCGTGATAGCGTAAATGAATGCCTGAGCCCATGCAACCTTGGCTGCATGTTCGGTGCTCTCAAACTTGGATCCGGACGAGACAGCCACAAGCGCGCGAACCATCCACTGGATCTCTGCTGGAGACGTCAATTTGGTATAAGCCTTAGGGTTCAGGAGAAAAGAAGGCTTTGGGCTGAGGAGCATCGACTGTGCCACAGTGGTTTCCCAGTCCGCCTTATCTACGCCCTGGGCTGCAGATACCCTTTCGTAGAGGGCAAGGTACACAAATGCGGCGGACAAAGAGCCATTCTGAGCTGAAGGTAGAGGATTTGAAGTTACCTCCTTGAACAAATCCTTCATCTTGTCGAGGAACTTGGTGACAAATGGTCCAACCTCGGAGGTAGCCAGTGTTGGTGCCTCAATACGCCAGAAGACGCCCCCAACAATCAGTTGCCAGAGCTTCCGGAATGGAATACGTTTATCTGCAATTCCTTTGACGACAGCATTGATGACATCGTCACTAATTTTCACCTTGGATTGAAGGAGGAAAGTGAGGTGCTTGCAGAGGGCCATGATTTCTTGTTCCAATGCTACTTCGTTAGATTCCCGCGAGAAGACAGGAGCAAACCCTTGTACTATGTCTTTGGAGACGCTCTCACTAGGCAAGATAGCACAGACCGCCTGAGCATACACAGCACGATGCTCTGGGCTCGTGATCTTCTGGGCCTTGAGGGGTCCGATGATCTCACCAGCAGTCTTGACAAGCCAGTTCTCATTTTTAGACTTTGAGAGGATGGACTCAAGAGACTGCACAGCACCTTGCCTAATAGTCACATTGTTTGATTTCATGCTGGAGAGAAGGTGCTTCAGGAGCCGAGAAAACAAAATCTCGGACAGGTCGAAGTCCTCCGGTAGAGAAGAGCATAGTGAAGGCACCAATCCACCCAATCCCACCTCTGGAGCACGCAAGAGCGATTTCTCAAGAGGAGGTACTAGCTCCGATGTGAACTCCTCATAGGTAATAAAAGAGGCGAAGAAGTCAGACAAGCCACTTGCGATGTGGTTTGGCACTGCAGCTTTTGAGCCAATCAATTCTTTGACGTAGTATGCGAGGACCAATTTCTTCTCTTGTTCCAGGACGGCCTTGCTGTTCGGTAGGCGGGCACAGACACCAGAAATGACACCGAGGAAGGGCGCATTCTTCTGCCCCGCAGCCGAGTCACCAGTCAGTCGAGCGACTGACTGGCGGACAGCATCCTCGCCCCAATTGTCTGACGAGAAAACGGCGCGTAGAGCACGTCTCGTAACAGTAAGGGCAGACTGCTTCACTGTTGGTCTGGGACCAGCGGCAAGACAGGTTTCGAGAGCCTTTGCATCCACAGCGACAATGTCCAGTATGATCGAGAGAGGAGTGTCCGGGTCATTTTTCAATATCTGCAGCAGAAGGCAACACCATTCCAGCAGGACAAATGCGGAAGATGGAGCCAGCCCGGGTTTAGAAGCCTCTGTGAGCAGTTTCTGGGTAAGGTATTTCAGATCTTCGGGCGGAACGGGCGCCTTGAGTATCGTACGCAGACATTGCTGGACGGCTTGTCGAGAAGGGCGATCGACGTATAGCGGATAGGTTGTAAAAAGGAGTCCTAGAAGAGACTGACGGATTTCTTGTGGTAATTCAAAGCCTAAAAGTCCAAAAAAGAACAGAGCGCGTGAGCACTGTCCATGCTGAATGGCCGACTCGGAGGGGTGAACAACAACCAACTTACCAATTTTATCGCGGAGCTCCTGGAGAGCAAGAGTTCTGCGAGTAGTCGAGCTCGAAAAGAGAGCGTCTCGCAGGCTCTCCAGGTCCCCTGATTTCACCTGTTCCCATGGAAAGTCGTCCATATTAGGTGGACTGGAGCATGTCGGCGTTCGCTAGAAGCCTTCCCGCAATGCTGTCATAAGAGTTTTCGACGTTGTGGGGGAGGAGCTCCGTCAACCGCAGCCGACATCATCGGCCCTCTCGCGCGTCCATGGAGACTTTTTCAACATTCAACGCTCGCATTCGCACTTTAAAAACCCTACGGGCCCAAAAACCTCCGTCAATATCTCGAGTCCAATTTTCGTGCGGCTCGTGGGGTTGAATCGGTCTTAATTGCGTCTCATTCTGGACCGCTGTGAGCGAGGCGGATCTTGGTATTTCTTGAGTCATGCCCTCCAACAACAAACGAAAGAAAAAACCGGCCTCCAATCCTGCTCGGGGCTTCGCGACCGTTTCCATACCCTCAAAACCAAAGTCGGTGGACTCGACGACCCCTGCATCGACCGTTGATTCCCGATCAGTCACTGAGAGTGGCTGGCCAACACCCGCAGAACCGAGCCAGCCACCGTCCGAGAAGCGAGAGCCTTCCTCCCTACAGAACTACTCGCCGGAGGAACTTGAGAAACATTTGGAGAACGCAGAGTTGCAGCTGCTGGTTGAAAAGCTTGCTGCCAAATGCAAGAACGATGCCGCCCGCCAGGTCACAAAGCTCGAAACTGAGCGGAGGGTCTTGCGGCAACAGGCCGTTTCCCTGAGTCTTTTGGAGTGGCTTCCTAAAGAAGCGCAGGAATTAATTCTCAGCCTTGCCGAAGCGGAAGAACGCGAAATCAGCCCTCCGTCTAGCTTGAAGAAGTCGAGCTCTGAGGAAGAGCTGTACATGAGACTTTGGACATTGCGGGAGACGCTCTTGAAACTTGGGTTCCCCGAAGTGAAAGTTGAGGAGGCATTGAAACATGTGCTGCTCTACTTGCCCGGTACATCTACAAGTTCTAATAGAGATGTGGCCCCGAACCTGGATGAGTCTTTGGAGTGGCTTGCCATGCACAGCCTTCCCGCGGAACTACCATCTTATACACAGTCGAGCGCTCAAACACGCAATGACTCGGAGCGACTTGTTTCTTTCATATCTGGTAAAATTTAAGCTGTGACCATCTACGGAGTGTAAGAGGCTAACGCCTAACAGAGAGCCAGCCGACAGAATCCTCGCCGTCAAAGGCAAAGAATGTTGATAACAAGCCGAAGAAGCCGAGGAATGTAAAGATGGTCACTCCTGTGGCCTCAAGTCCTTACGACTCCGATAGCTCTCTTGACCCTGACACGTTGCTTCCAAAATTCCTGGAATTGCAAACGAAGCTGTACGACCTGCGACCAGAATTGTTCGATCAGCCAAAGAAGGGCAAAAAATCTGGTCCTGAGCAGGCAAATGTCACCACAGAGGATCCCCAAGTTGCGAGACTCCAGCGTAAACTTGCAAGCATTGAGAATGACGTGTTGTTTGACCGCGATGAGGCCGAGTACCGGTGGAGGGAGAAGCTTGATGACCTAAGGAGGGAAGCAGCATTTTCCAGGCGCGTTGCTCGCGACGAAGGAAATTGTGCGCCTGTGGAACCCGAGGTCAGGAAGCCTGATGAGACATCGACTGAGGCGGAGAGTAGTGCCGGACTCATGGACGACAACGGAGATACAGCAGATCTTCTTGGAGATATGTTCGAGACTGAAGAGCCAATTTTGGAGACTGGTATCATTACAGAAGAGCTCAAAAAAGCCTCTATCACGATGCGTGACTTCGGTAAATGGACCGGGCTTAGTCCTCGACGGGTCCTGGAAGAGACGTGCAAGTCCAGGTATGAACCTGTAGGCGCTCCTTTTGTGGTAGACCAAAAACTCATGGTGCTTTAGGGATACCGGATGTACGGTTACTTATAAAGATTTCTCACCCTCATCACATACGAATCGAAAGGCCGTTGAAGTCAGGTGGTCGAAACCTCAAGACGTGCCCTTTCCCCTGGAAGTGGATATGGTCACACATAAATCGAACTCTTACACGACGTTTGTATCAATGGAGTCGGTCGCTACATCCACATCTCAACAGGCAGAGGCTTTTGTGTCTACGATAGCTCTTTTCATTCTATTCCCGCAGAACTCGAAAGAAGGAAAAGCCTATCTGCGACTGCCGGCTGTTTGGCGAGATCTGTGGACTGAGTTGGCAGAAATCAAAAAGCTTCAGGAGGAGGAAGTTGACAAAAAGGTTGTCAAGGGCCTTAGAACGCTGATTCAAGAGAACCAGGGTACCTTTGAAGACGATGTTGTACTGTCGGATAATTTCCGGCGGAGGAATGGCGCAGCTGGCAAAGCAGAGTCTCCCGGGAGGGTCGGCGCCAAAGTCCAGGAGTCTGATGAGCACTTGAAGAGAATATGGGCAGAGAAATCCTCCTCACCATCCTTCCAACACATGGTTCAGGGACGGATGAACCTGCCGATCTGGGAGTTCAAGGACGAGATTCTCAACACGCTCGACACGCATCGTGCCGTTATCATCTGCAGTGAGACGGGAAGCGGAAAGAGCACACAAATACCTTCGTTCATCCTTGAGCATGAGTTGCAACACGGTCGTCCTTGCAAGATCTATGTGACCGAGCCTAGGAGGATCTCTGCTATATCCCTGGCGCGCAGAGTCAGTGAGGAACTTGGGGAGAGTAAGGCAGACGTTGGGACGGCCCGGTCTCTGATTGGTTTTGCTGTTAGGTTGGAAAGCAAGGTCAGCCAATCCACGAGACTGGTATTTGCGTATGTATCATGCCCCGACTTTCAGAAGTTATACTGATCTGATGCAGTACAACCGGAGTGGTAGTACGGATGTTGGAGCGTCCCGACGACTTTCAGGACATTTCTCATGTTGTTCTTGACGAGGTTCATGAACGGACCATTGACAGCGATTTCCTCCTGATTGTGCTTCGGCGACTGATGCAAAAACGGCCAGATTTGAAGTTGATACTGATGTCGGCTACTCTCGAGGCTCAACGTTTCTCTTCATACCTCGGTGGTGTTCCTGTGCTGAATATACCTGGACGGACCTTTCCTGTCGAGATGAAGTTCTTGGAGGATGCGATCGAGCTGACCAACTACCACCTACTGGAAAACGAGGCGAATACTGTGATTGATGAAGATGTGGACGATACGCCGTCAGAGAACGGGGAAGGCGACACAACTGGCGGCCTGCTAGCCACTCTTGAAGGATATTCCAAGCAAACTCGCGAAACAGTGCTCAGTTTTGACGAGTACCGCCTCGACTACCAGCTCATCAAAAAATTGCTAGTGAAACTCGCGTCGGCACCGGAGATGGCACCCTACAGCAGAGCCATCCTGGTGTTCATGCCTGGCATGGCGGAAATTCGTCGTCTGAATGATGAGATTCTCTCAGATCCAATCTTCCAAACAGGCTGGATTGTACATGCTCTTCACTCTTCTATTGCCAGCGAAGACCAAGAAAAGGCGTTTGTTGTGCCTCCCGAGGGCATGAGAAAGATTGTCATTGCCACAAACATTGCAGAAACAGGTATGTTTGCAACGCTGCCACGATTAGCAGATGCTGACTTCCCAGGTATCACCATCCCGGATATCACAGCTGTCATCGACGCTGGCAAGGAAAAGACGATGCGGTGGGTATCATGCGACGGTTTTATGCGAGACCCTGCTGACACATTTTAGTTTTGACGAGAGACGACAACTTTCAAGGCTCGTGGAGGCCTTTATCTCGCGTGCCAATGCAAAGCAACGCCGAGGAAGAGCTGGACGAGTGCAGAGCGGTATCTGTTTCCACTTGTTCACCAAGCATCGACATGATAAGCTGGTATGTCCAAATTCCTGTCGCTAGTCCTTTGATACTAACAACCACACAGCTCGCAGAGCAGCAGACGCCGGAGATGCTGCGGCTATCCTTGCAAGATCTTGTACTGCGTGTCAAGATCTGTAAACTCGGTGAAGTGGAGCAAACTCTCCTCGAGGCATTGGATCCACCATCGTCCAAGAACATACGTCGTGCGATTGACTCGCTGAAAGAAGTCAAAGCTCTCACCAACTCGGAGAGCCTGACACCTCTGGGCATGCAGCTTGCCAAATTGCCCCTGGATGTCTTCCTCGGAAAGTTGATCATCCATGGCGTGTTCTTCAAGTGCCTGGACGCTTGCATTAGCATTGCCGCCATTCTCTCATCCAAATCACCGTTTGTCAATACTATGGGATCCAACAACCAGAAAGATCTTGCGAGGCTCTCATTCAAGAAGGGTAGGTAACTTATTGATAAAGCAAGGTTTATGCTAATGTTAGCCCAGGCGATTCCGACCTCCTGACCGTGTACAATGCGTACTGCGCCTGGAAGCGCACGAGGAGCACGCCGGGGGCTAACGAATATGCCTTTTGCCGGAAGAACTTTCTCAGTTCGCAGACACTATTGAACATCGAAGACATCAAAATGCAGCTCATAGTCTCCCTTGCAGATGCAGGGCTTCTAAACTTGGATCCGACACAAAAGTCTTTACTGAACAGGTATTCTCACACCTATCTTACTTCTACAGTAAACTCACACAACGCAGAGCCCGATCCGGCGGCCGCCAACGGCAATTTTTCACCATCCCCGAGGACTACGACACAAACAGCAGCAACGACGTCGTCGTCAACTCGGTCATCGCCTGGAGCTTTTACCCGAAACTGCTCACCCGCGAAGGCAAGGGCTGGCGCAACGTCGCCAACAACCAGTCCGTCACGCTGCACCCTACCTCCGTCAACAAGCACGCCGACGCCTCCCTGAAATGGCTCTCCTACTACCACATCATGCAGGCCCGCAACCGGAACTACAACGCCTTTGAGACAAACGCCGTCGACGACTTTGCCATTGCGCTGCTGTGCGGAGAGGCCGAATTCAAGGTCCGTAGCCGCCCTCCTTCCGTTTTGCAAAGCTGCAAATGCGGACAATTCTGACTGACTGGCTGCAGATGTACGCTGGCGTTGTCTCCATCGACGCGAACCGCATCCGCTTCGCGGTCCGCGACTGGAAGGCCATGCTCGCGCTGAAGATCCTCAGTGC